TAGAGGAAACAGCTCCAACCCATCTACTGCAGGCCGTCTGTCTGCACAGAGCTCCAGAGAAAAGCTTTCCGAAGACAGACATGAGACATGAGCAACAATAGCAACAGTATCATTTTTCTATAAAAATACAAAATTAACCCCATATGAACAATAATAGCAAAAGTTTAAACAGCACTGATATCTTGCACCTTCATACATTGAAATATATGAATCTATTAAATATGATTTTCTGTTTTTTCAGTACTGTTTGCTCATATTGATAGATACAATCCAGGTTTACAGAGGTTGTGAGCACTGCATAGATGGTTTGTCAGTGTGACACAGAGTGATTTTGCTGGTTTAAGCTGTAAAACAAATAAAGAATGGAAAGAGACATGATTAGAGCACAAGAAAGAGAAGAAAGTCAGATCATATATTTTGATGGGCCTCAAATTGGCCAAACCTAAACACGAGCTCACCTCTTATGACGACTTTAGCCAGAGCCTCGCTGGAGCCAAAATGGTTGGTGGCCACACATTTATATGTTCCACTGTCACCAAGCTTAACACGGGCTATCAGCAACCTTCCATCGTTTGTGGCCTCTGCTCCTGCAGGCAGGCTTGCCCTGCCTGCCCGGCTCCACGCGAACTGGATGGGATGAGAGCCGTGGGCAAGACACTGTAGACGCAGGGCATCTCCGGGCTTGAGTCTTACCTGGTCAGGCAGGCAGGTGGCATATGGAGGGGCTGAGGAAGACAATTACATGTCAGTCACTTCACTCTCACTGGGCAGTGGTGACCAAGACACTGCTCCATCACTCTATTTGCTCAGTGATATTGCACAAGTTGGCCATGTCTCAATTAAATATATTGTGGTGCAACAAATATATTAAAAAAAAGAAGAAGGCAGGAGCTGTTGTACAGAAACTGAATCTGTTTTTCACTCACTCTCCACCTCCATCTGGGTGTAGGCTTCACTGTAGCCATGTATGTTGGTTGCATTACAGATGTACTGTCCTGAGTCCTGGCGCCCCACACTGGTCAATGTCAAAGCACCACCAACCACTGTGTGTTTCCATGGCAGCGGTGCTCGTAGCTTGGACCAAGTGATGACAGGGGGAGGAGAGCCTCACAGGAAGAAGAAACGCAAAGGTCAAAGTGAAAAATGAGAAGTGAGAGCAGAACCGAGAGATGTTTCGAACACAAGCATAAAGACATCTTACCACTGGCCTGACACTCTATTGTGACTGATTGTCCCTCCACCGCTGTCATTTCTGTAGAGCTCACTGAAGCCACTGGTGCTCCTGGTCCCCCCTCAACAGTGATTTCAACTTTACCTTCCGTCACTCCCTCGTTGTTCTCAGCCTGGCAAATATAAACCCCTGAGTCCTCTGGGCGCACTACGGCCCACTGAAGATAGAAACCGCAATGATTAGGATCATCCTGTTGTATTAAAACATGGAAATAAATGAGCACATTACTTGCATGAGTTTGTAATTCACCTGTATGGTGTTGACATTATTTGTCTCTGTGGTAACCAGCTGCAGTGTGGAGCCTTGCCGTTTCCAAGTCAGCTTGGGATTTGGCCTGCCTGTGGCGCGACACTCCACTGACACAGGGTCACCTATCCTGACCCGCAGGGGCCCCGCCGGTGTCAGCCGCACTTTAGGAGCATCTGAGAAAGAGGATATACAAAATCAGTAGGCAGTGGGTTTTTGGCACTTTTTCACTGAAAACAGCTGAAAATAATAATGGGAGAGCAGTGAGAGAGACAAATAAAGCACTAAAGTTCCTGTCAGACAGATAAATCGTATGCTAAAACTGCTACAGTATAAAGCCCCTTAAAGATGCAGCATGTTAGATTTAGTGACATCTAGCAGTGAAGTTTGAGATTGCAACATTCATCAAAGCTCTCGTACATCGTGTCAAATAGCCCTCACAGCCATTTCATAGTGATTACCGTAAATGTAGGACAAACTGTGCACTCATAAAACAAGTGTGGCTGACTTAACCAAGCAAAAGCTAACTGGGTTACCCAGCAATAGCCATGTTCTAGCTAAAGCTGTCAAACAAAAACTTGGATTCAGGTTAACTTTACTTGTTAGACTAAATTACCTGTTTAGCAGAAAACAAGTAACTTTGGAGGCATTCTGGAAACATTTATCCCTCATCAAGGATTTCCATCTGGGAAAGGCCACAACAACGTGTATCCTCATCTTATGCCATTGCCTATCCCATTTGCTCGTGTCTTTGCTTCTTTGATGACAGGGATTCACTCTGGGTTCCTTTTCTCGTCTTAAAGTATAAATACAATATGATCCTCAGCTTCCTCAAATTATACTGCAGTTCTTAAATTTGTGACAATGCTTCCTCTTGTTTTTAATGTTGTTTCTTCTTTGTCTTCAAAGTGTCTCCAAATCCAAGTTGCTACCTCGATGTGAAAACACAAAATTCATGCCCTAGAACCAGTGTGTGGTTTGTCCATTCTGGGCTAGTTTAAAAAACATGACGGCTCAACATGGCTGCCTCAATGATGGGGGACTCAGTCCTATGTAGATGCAAAAGTCAACTCAGTTCAGGGTCAGGTTTAAAGTTTGTTAAACTTTCTTTCTGGAATACCTGGCTGATGCATTTACACACACACACACATGGTGTTATCACCATTACGTACAAGCTGGTAATGACTTCAGGGGCCCACAGCTGAAGATGGGGTAGGTGCCAACACAAAGAAATTTAGTGCAGCTATTTTATTTTCCAATAAAAGGGAGTCCAGATAAAATAATCTTTCAGGGTACCCGCAGTTTCTAGCTTTAGTTCTGCACACACACAAGTGGAGAAAACTGAATTGTAAAGACAAGCTCACATTTGACGTTGAGCGCAGCTCTGGCAGTGCTGCTTCCAGCAGAGTTGGATGCCATACAGCGGTACTGGCCCTGGTTTGCAGGTCGGGCATTAGCAATAGTCAGCACAGAGCCATCAGGACCGATCTTACTATTGTCTAAAAGAAAGAAAAAACTTTACAAATGGTGACATTGTATGAATCATGCTTAGTTATGTATACATGCTTTTACTTCTGACCTGGTAATGGGTTGTTATTGGCTCTCGTCCACTCCAGCTGGATTGGCTGTGCACCAGTCTTCACTTGGCACCTAAGGCTGACAGACTCCCCTTGGCGCACAGTTGCGGCCCGGGGCTCCACTGAGATGACAGGAGCCTGGCCAGCCACTGCACAGACAGATAAGAACTGGTGATACCAAACACACAGGCAAGACCGTACACACATACAATGAAACTCTGTGAACCTTGAGTCAGGTCTGGGTAAACTACAGTGTAAGCAAACACCGCCACAGAGCAAAGAACCTGACCAGAACAGAAGCGATGACGAAGCAAAAAAGAAAAATGTACAAAAATAAAATTTTCCAAGCAAATGTCAAGCACATGATGTCAGAAAGGAATACTAAAATAGTTTCATTGTTTTATTGCTAAAGTGCTGGGTTGGTTTACTTATAAAATGGCAGCTGTGCATATTGTTTGGTTTGATTTGCCAAGATTTTGAGATCTCCGCCTTGTTTGTGGTGCCCACAGCAATTAAGAAAATACATTTTTTAAAAGTGTACAACAACGTTTTTCCAGAATAACCCCATTCCTTTGGATATTCAAAGAGATGTTATTATTACTATTATTATATTATTTCTTCAGTAGAAAATATAAATTGTCAACAGTGAGGTCTCTGGATTAGTAATAGAGACATTTTGGAAAGCCACGCTGCTGTTGAAGTTTTACCACCAGTTTTTGTAACCCTCTAAAGTACAGAATGAATATACATCAGTACAAACAAATCTAAGGCAAGCTATTAAAAAAGCTGTAAAAATGAAAGACACATGCAAAATCCTCACTATTACAGCAGATGTTTCTCCACTGTTAAAACTGAATCAGATTCATTACCTGAACATAATAGAAAACACAGGATCAGAGCCCCAGGTGACAAATCCATGATGAACAGTCTCACTATCCCAGATGCTTCTGTCTGTCTGTTCCTAGTCATAGATCACGTCTGATCTTTAAACCTTCACTTATCATTCACCCCTTCCCCTGTTCAAACACTGTCTTCCACACGGTGCCAGTCACGTATGAAGCCTTTCACTGTAATGTTGTGTTCTTGCAAAAAAAAGGTTTTACTATTTACTGCTTGATTCCAAAACCATGTGGCATGTTAAAAGGGCTTCCAAGCACATCTGGATGCCATTTTGATGTATGGCTGAGTAAATACTGTAAACAAGGTAAATGCTAACAGATAACTCATGTCAGTGAATGATATGCACAGAAGCTCTAGGACACGCACTGGTGAAAAGTACAAAAGCTGGACTTTGTGACTTTGCAACAAATTTAAGGTGTGTCAAACAGGGACACTGGTTTCATCGCTACACTTTTCAGAGGTTTATTTCGCTTTCCAAGAAAATGACCAGTCTCCATGTGCCTGTATTGACCAGTGAGCTTGCAGTGATAAGCAGCTGATGACACAGAATTCAAAGGTGTCTCAAAGTACAGTTGTCCTTTTTAGTGCCCTGCTGCTTTTTTTATATGGGATTAGTGAGCCAGATGAAATAAAGCTGGACAATAGTGAAACTGGAAAACAGTAGTAATGGCTAAAGCAGCCTTGAGCCTGTAGCAGAGATGAGGAGTGGACTACAGAGTTCTGTTGTTCTCACTTCTTTCTGGTGCCATTGTTTTTTTTTTTCTCCATTTTCAAACCTGGAGTCAGACTCAACCAAGGCTGCTCATATAGCATCACTTGAGGCAAATTTCTCACAGCTCCACCTGGAGTCACACCAGTCTTTATACAACTTCTAGTACAGTAGGTATATATACAGTAGTACTTCATAAGGCCTGCAAACAGATGATGAAGTGCTGTTTTGATGAGACATCTGAAGTTTCCTTTGACAACATACTGTTGAGATTAACTACAAAAAGAAAGGAATGACAACAAATAAAGGAAGAGACAACAAGAGTTTGGAGGAAATACTACTTGGTAAGTCTGGTTTGGCAGTTTAATTGAGCTTGAAGCCAGTTACATGCAGTCACACCACTCAGCACTAGGGGGCATAGATAAACATAAAAACACACAGGGTCCCATCAGTACTGGATGTTCAGAAACTGTGTACATTTATACACCAAACCTACCCTGTTATCCTGGGTCTAACACTTTGGTTTGGGTCCTTCAGAAGCATTTTAAAACATCTGAAGTACATGTCATTATGAAATATTGCATTTACATTTATATAAACAGAAACAAACCAGTTCTGTTTAAACAACACAGGATACCAAAATTGACAATGTGTTTATTCTTTTTTGGTTATTTCTTTAAGGACAAAAGAAAACTCATAGTTCAACAAGTTCTAAAAATGACTACAAGCCTTTTTTTCTTATTTCCAATTGTTTGAGATTAATGATGAATCCACACCATGACCACACCATGCCCCACCTTTTATCTTTTAGAAAAATGTGTAGTTTCATCATGGAGTTTTATTTTTGAAATAAGAAAAATATGATGAGAAGTTATTTAAAAAAAGATGAAAGGGTAGAAAAGGATCAGCAAAACGAAGCAAAATTAAAGAAAAGAGTCGCAGATTTTTGGGGAATGTTGTCTCTTTGCGGCTTGGCTATAGGTCAGCCTGCAGTCTGGGTTTGTATGAGGAGCAGAGCAAAAACTGGAAGTGACAGAGCCTGTTCTGGATGTGGGAGGAGAAGACATCACTGTCCTGCCAGCCACCATTGACCTGCAGAGACAGACTGAAATGTGGGTCTTAAAACTGAAAAGCCACCTTTCAGCAATGAATGACCTTTTATGACTAGAATGTTAGTAAGCTGTAATCTACTAATACATTCACCAAAACTGCCTCCCACAGTCCAAAGACATGCAGGCTAGGTTGACTGGGGACTCAGAATAGACCATAGGTATGAATGTGAGTGGATGTCTGTCAGCCCTGTGGTAGACTGCTGACCTGTTCAGGGTGTACACCACTTCTCGCCCAATGTCATCTGGGATTGGCTCCAGCCACCCAACTAAAAAGGAGAGTGCACACCCTATACCTTCTTTCTTTTTAACAGAGTTAAAGTTTAATGTGAGTGTTTCTACTGTTGTTCAATGACAATCCAGTGTTCAGCTGGTGACATGGTGCATGTAGAGGAAGAGGGTGTTACCATGACTACTCAGTTGGAGAGTATGTAACTATAGCAACAGTGTGCAACCACAGGTACTCACATGGAGACAGTGAGGTGGTCCTTCATAACCCCCCCGTCAGGAGTGTAGCACAAGGCTGGGTATCCTCCTGTTGGCATACATGGGACGTGTCAAGAACAGACTTTACACGCACAATCACACACACATTTTAATACCTAGAAAGCACACAAAACACAATACAATCACATACTCGACACAAAACTGTGTGTCTATAAGTCAGCATGCTGTCTGAGGGCTGTCAAGGAAAATTTAGGGTAATAGAGACAATGACACTAATTTGGTTAATGTGCTCTCACATTAACCAACTTATTGCCCTTCCGGACAGAGCCGTACTTAGCTAGGGGTCCAGAAATGGCCATAGGATAGGCTAAGACTCTAAAGGGCAACACACACTGGCAGTGTCGTGTCACATCCAAGCAGCAACCTCCAAGACTGAGAAGTGAAGGCAGTGCAGATGTGTTAAAACCTGCTGGTCTTCAAACGGCCACTTACGGCAGGATCCAAAAGGGAGTCCATCCTCACAGAAGTCCATGTTAAAACGCCCAACTTTACAGCAAAAATAAACATGTTTACAGCCTGGTACAAAAAAAACATTTTCTGCCTCTTTAGCTAATTTCCCCTTCAATGACAGCTGTACAGGAGGTATGTTTTTATTTCACTTTTTATATAACAGTTTAAATTATACTGAAGCTAAAAGTTAAACACAGTTAAGGGCACATCACACACCAGCAGTGTGCATTGCCCATCTATTTTTATAAAATCATGTACAAATTAATACAGAAATCTCACTTTTAACTAAGCAAAGATCACCACTTATCTATTTTCATGTAATATTAGTTGTTAGCTGAATAATTACAGCAATGTTGCCCATTTATTTTATTTAAAAACATCCACAGATTAATAAACAGGCTCTGAAGACTCCCCCTTGAATGAGTATGTTTAATGGTATGCTGCTAAAGGAAGGAGTTAGAACAGGCACAACCAGTCATGTTTTTAACCACATTAGCAGCATGAAGGTCAGCCACTTTGGTCCTGACTGAAATGGGTGTTAATTCATCCAGTATAATCATATGATATCAATATCAAAACAGGAGTCAGGGACACTCCTGCACAAACAGAAACCAGGATGAGGTTACAGTCATACAAGTATGTGAATAACCAAGTTTCTTGTATTCCTTATTCTGAATATTATTAAAGTCAGAAGACATAATGGAGACTATCGTGCATGTGTGTGTGCGTGCACCTGAGCTCGGAGTGGCTGGGGGGCAGCCTGTGATGACACACTAGCAGCAGCTGTCTCGATTGCATACAGGTTAAGCATCCTCCTGGAACTTTCCAATGTTCTTCTTATACCGAATCCTCTTGTTTCCAAACCAGTTGGCCACCTTTAGAGAGGACAAAAGAAAGCTAATCACAAGAAATTCAACTTGATTCACTGCATAAAGCAACATAAAAGTACTCAATGTGTCAGTTTCTTTTCCAAGATCCTTCTTTCCCTGACCTGAGAAACAGTGATGAAACACTTCTTGGCCATCTCCTCCTTGGCTTCCTCATTGGGGTAGGGGTTTGCCAGGTGTGAGTAAAAATATTCATTCAAAATCTCCGTCGCCTGCTTGCTGAAGTCTCTTCAATTCTGCCTAATGAAAAAGAAGCGATTGCAACAATTAAATACAGAAGACAGCAAATACTCTTCTTCACAGTGTTCCACATCTTTACTGTTTCACACTGCAAGACTAAAGTTGAGAAGAGGCCAAAAATTAAACAAGTGCAAACCAACCTGGCATCCAGGAACCTGGAGCGAAGGATCATGACAGCCTCACATGTGCTCTGCTTTAACTGCAACTGGACAGCGCTGAACTTGCGGTGGATGATCGTCACCATTTGCTCAGTCTGTTTGGGTGAGATGGGCCGCATACGGGACTGTTCTCTCAGTAGGTTCTTCACATGGCCAGTGAGTTCACTGCATGCCTGCATGCAAGGAGAGGTGAGTAGGCCAGGTATGAGGCTTAGGATGAGTCTTTGAGTTACACCATAGACAGGCCACTGGTCTATCACAGGGCCAGCACACAGAGACAGACACACACTCACACTGACACCTACAGGCAACTTGGAGTCACCAGCTGGAGTCGCCTAACCTCCATGTCTTAGAAATGTGGGAGGAAGCCAGCGTCCCACAGAAAACCCACCGCCTCATGAAATCCGCTTAGGACAAAACCCAATCTTCCAGTTTTTTCTAGCAACTCACTGCACTTCTATCTGGCATGCCAAAACAAAAGCACTGGATTCATAAACAACATATTTTTATTATTCAGTTGTGAGAGGTACACTGATACAAAATAACAAACATGAGACATAATCAACAAAGTATGCCATAGGAATACTTTACCTGTCCAAGAGGTCATGGACAGATAAAAACAGTTTTGAGCAGCCTGGCCAGATCCTTTCTGTAACATCTGGGGGGTTCCATTGATTAAAATTCAAAAAACTACATTCCAATGAATAAACCTACATAACCTCATGTAAAACTACTCAGTAAGGTGGTGGAGCTCATTTTAGCCAAGCTAGTGCATGGCCCTAGTGACGGCAATGCTGGCTCGTCGTTCTGCTGGTCCACCACTTTGGTCAAAACTGAAACATCTGCACAGCTGTTAAATGGGGAGCTGGAACGTTTGTTCACACGTTCATCATCCCCATATGACGACTGTTCTTCGAGCATCACCACGACGTAAAATCACATGGTTTGAGTGAAATGTTTCATAGCAAACAACGATTTAAAGTGAGTTAAAATCAACAGGTTTTATTTCATACCTCAATGTGTTGGAAGCACTACCCCACCCCACCCCACTGGTAATACAACGTTTTTATGACTAAAGAGGTTAGAGAAGTGACGTACCACATCATTTTTCCTCTGAGGAACTGCTGTTTGGGTCTAACCGCTGATTCAGGCTGACAGAGCCAAACAGAGCCACACATACACACAGATCCACCAAACCTGCACAAATTTGCAAAAGACCCAGCAGCACATGATCAGAACATTATTTCTGGTAGGACTGAGTTCACCACCAACAGTCACCCATAGAGCAGCACACAGAGGCTTCTTGTGCTGCCTGCCTGGGCCCAGTCTGACCTGGCTTCAGCAGAGGGAGGAGGGGAGAGAGCCAGGAGAGACCGCTCAGTCCTTTATCCATAAAGCAGCTTTTAAAAGCACAAACTGCTTCAAAATGAAGACAAGTAAGCCAGAACCAACAGATCTGAAAGAAATACAGTGAAAATATAAAAGTAGAAGATACTAAAAACTCCAAACAGCAGGAGGTCTTCACACGTGGGTCTGCAGCTGCTTTTTAAAGGGGTCCACAAAGATCTGATGTACAATGGAAGTAGGTTTTAAATATACCAACATAAAAGAACCAAAGATCAAAATGATTTATCAGCAACATGTTGTAAAAATACAACCAGTGGTGGAAGTGTCAGGTTTGCCCAGCTG